CAGCCGGGATTGGATGCCCCGTGCGGCCCCTCCTGTCTCCCTGCTGGCTGCTTGCTGTAATCAGTCATAGTAGAGCAGACACTCCATCCATCATGGAGGCTAAACTCCCTTCATCGCTCTGGCCCATAACCCAGAGCACACCTGTCAACAGCAGCCCGCATCACTGCATCTGACTTTGCACCGTCTCTTTGACTGTGAGAACAAAACTTTAGCTCTAACAGAAATCAAGAGAGAGGTCATTTAAAATCTTTCTTTGAGTCCAGCATCCTTCAATCAAAAATGGAGGCATCTGGTCTGGGCTCTCATGAGACGTCAAAGATGAGCCAGTTAGTACATCAATAATTTTCTAGTCTTTTATTAGAGTTAGTTCTTTTTCTTTCTGTTTAAAACTAGCTTAGTTGGAAAAAATATATACATTTAAAGGTTTTTCAGACTCAAGGACTGTTTCTATGTCTGGCTGTTTCATAATATCTCAGTGACACTTCAATCTAACACCTGAATGATCACATCAAATGTTTGCTTTTGCTGTCTAATGTGTCTGAAATATTAAGTCCAAACTTTATAACATAGATTAGGTTAGGACAAATGTTCTCATCACAAGTATTTTAGCCACTGTTGAATCGTGATTATATAACACCATTACTCAGAGAATTTGGAAAATAATATTTGAGTCACCAAACTTAAAAAACAAAAGACAAAAACTTGTCTTTTTAACAGAACGTTTGCTTGAAAAGAATTGTTTGGTAAAGTAAACATGGCACAGGGTGGCAGTGATATGAAGATCAATGCAGGCAATGGAAACAGCTGGGTTAGGTGAGACAGGTGAAGGCAATCAGGAAAGGATGGGAAGGAAGTGAAACTATAAACAAGGCACAGGACACAAATAACTACCAAAATAAAACAGTAAGGAAGTAACTCAGTAACTGAACAGGGGAGCAAAGAGACATGAATCAGCTTAAAAGAGAGGAACACATAGAAGAAAAAACATAAGCTCTATAAATGCAAACAGTAACTTCAACTAAAATATAACCCGGAATAAAGAAAACCAAAACTTAGACAGCAAGCAAACTGAGAACAAAGAAACTATATTCCATCAAAGTGGCAGGAGGGCGACAGAAGGAAATGAAAGTTGGAGCGGTGACAGAAAAGAATGAGCAGATTGTGGCACAATAACCATTTTATCTTGATTATCTTATTTCAATAATTGATGGCAGACAACATTGCAGTTGAAATCTAAATTCGATCTGTTGCACGGTCCTGCTTCAGGTTGTATTTAACAGCTTGCACAGATGGCATATCCAAGTGATTCTGACAGAAGACCGTCTCCTAGCAATTGGTGGTGAGTGACATATTGGTAACTAGCTGAGTCAAAATCTCTCTCTTTGAATCTCATACATAATAATTATATTTTTGCACGATCACATGCTTTCGTTTCACAAAACTCAAACACAACTTGTCATGAATTTGAATTTGTTGAGACGAAACACAGTTTTAGAAAAAAGATTTTGACATTTTTCCAAAAAGAGAAAAAGTCCAAATAAAGTCTTTGCCTTCATTTTTAAATGAATTCATTGATAATTTTATTTATTTACTTGTGAAAAATGAGATAACAAAGATAATAAAAACATTTTTTTTTTCAAAATACAGTTTATTTAATTGTTCTACTTGGGGCAGGGATAGCTCAGTAGGTAGCGTGGGGGCCCCATGATCGGAAGGTCGGGGGTTCGAATCCACTGAACGGCTACACTGAGGTATACCTGAGCAAGGTACCGTCCCTACACACTGCTCCCCGGGCGCCCAATGGCTGCCCACTGCTTCACTAAGTAAATGGGTTAAATGCAGAGAGGAATTTCCCACGGGGATCAATAAAGTAAATAGTACATTGTTATTACGTTATCATTAATCTGTATTAGGAGTTTTATTATTGTACCCTTTTATGCCAGATTAAAATTTAAAACAACATTTTTTGTGCAGTGCTTTTTTCTGGGAACAAGACTGTCTGGATTTTCTTTTTCAAAGTCATAACCCACCGTCCTTTCAGTGGAATAAAGATGTGGTCCTGTTTTAGCATTTTGAAGCTCTAGTTGGACAGCAAAGTGGGGCCACGCAGAGGTTAGAGACAAAGTGACGCGAGTGTGAAGGCTCTGCAGGAGGTTAATACTTTGTTTCAGCTTGCTGCTATTTGTTTTGGCAAGCTGTACATCTGTTTTGACTTTGATTTTTGTTTCTTTGCCTCCACAGATAGCTGCTCTGCAAAGAGGAGGAGACAGCTTCCCACTCATAGGCGCCTCAGGCAAAGTGCTCGGAAAGGTGCGGCAAAGGACAGATGCACAGAAAATAGAAACAAATACCTCTGACAAAGGTGTTGTGTTATTGCTGCTGACTTCAAAGAAAACCCTCGCTGCTGAAAGTCAAACGCAACAAATTCTTTATGATGATCACAACTGGAGAGCGAGATGAATGCTGAAAAGTTACAGCAGACTTCTGTCTTTGAATTCAGGCACTGCGAAGCTCTGACAAGAGCTCGAAGCCAGTGTACGTGTCTGTGGGCCACAAGATCAGCCTGGACACAGCTGTCCGCCTCACACACGCATGCTGCCGATACCGGGTCCCTGAGCCAATCAGACAGGTGGGCCTATGTGCACACACACACACGCACTGTAAAAGTGCATTGAGCCATCATGAGTGTTCAGCAGAGCAGCTGCAGGAACGCTAGAAGCCTTTTTTGTGAACAGTAGAAACAAAAGTTGAACTTCTCATCTTAGAAGCAGAACACTGTTTCAGGGAGCGAGCAGTGCTCACCACTTGTGTAACAGTGTCCTGCTGTAAAGCGAGGAGGTGTGAGCATCACGCTATGCAGTGCTTTATTGGCAGCAGGGCCTGGGAGACATGTAAAAATGGAGAGAAGAAGAATATATGCAGCCAAATTAGGGATGTTCCAATTTTGGCTGTATTTTTATATGAATTCCAGCCCCGGCGCAGAAAACTGTGCAGACAGTTTCAAACGATAAGATGATGCCGGCTGTCAGACACAAGTGCAACAAAGCTATAGTGTGACACTGAAGATATTTTTAACTGCAAGGCAGACAGGATCTTCGCAAAGTTGGAAAGTATATGGTTCATACTTTGCTATTATATTTGGGATGCACAGAAATGAATGGATGATGAACAGAGTGAACTTTTTTAATTAGGCCAATGATATTTTGCTTACTTTAGACGTTCCCTATGACCAACAACAAGTAAAAGCTCTTTTATTCGACTAAGAGCCATGTAACCATGCTTTGGTTACTTAAAAAAACCTAAAATCAGCTGTCATAATGACAGCTCTGTAGTGCCACCAGTTCACCACATTGACACAGAGTGCATTGTGCTTACAAAGTAAGCCTTCATAGATCAAAACATGCACTCAATTATCTTTTTAATTTAAATTTTAAATATTTATTTATTTAAATATTTTAACTGAGAGAGAACATTTTCATTTTAATTATTATTGTAATTTTTGATATGTTAAAATACTTTTTTTTCAAATACTTTTCATACTTGATATCAAAATTAATCAAATAAAATAAAAAGGCATGAATATTACAGTTGTTTTGAGCATAACTGGTATGTTATCTGTTGCTATTTAAGTTACATTTTGTTTGTTTGTATTTTAAAGAGTTTCCTCCTGGTTTGTGAATATTGAGTCTTTCGCTAATTATAGATGCAAAATGATACATTTGTATAAAAGTGTGCTCCCCTCAGCACGAGTCAATTTCCTTCCTCCTTTACTTTGCAAAGGTGAGACGCTGTTTTTGTTCTTCCATCACTCCTTAAAGTGAAACATAAATACAGTTTAAGCCAGAGTGCATTTTGTTAGCTCTTCTCAGTGTTTCAGTTGAGCTGCCACACTGTCATGAGGCTACCAAACCTTTGATTAAATGTTTACGGAGGCTGGAGGTGTGTCCACAATCAACATTTTTTTTTAACCTGATTTCAACTGTTTTTTCTTTTCTGATAGACATTACTGATTTCCCATGAGCCCTCTGCACTGATTGGTTTTGGTTTTGAAAATGCCACCGATAAAAAATATTTATGCGTGAGGCTCAATGTGCTGTTGATTCCTTTTGTTTAACTGCAGCCCGCAAAAATTTAAGACAACCCAATAAAATGAGCTGAATTGTCGCCCAGTGGTGGCGATTAAGTTCACTATGAACTTTTTAGTGTCCCTTTTCTCTTGTTGCTCAGCTATATCGTACTCTGCCTCCTGCCCAGTGCATGCTGGCACTGTTAACGGGGTAAGTTGGGATAGAAAGTTAAGTGCTTTTTTAAATGTCTTAAAAGTTTTACTCACAACATAAAATAGCAAAAACAACCACTAAATGTTTTCCTGAGGAAGAGGAGGAACAAGCTTCACCTCATCTTTTTCTTTCTGCCACTAGGCTGTGCTGTGCTTCTGCAGTGCACCATATGATTACTGCAAGCCACCTGACTGCACTGTAAACACACACTCACACACACACACACACACACACACACACACACACACACACACACACACACACTCACACACACACACTCACACTCAAAATCAGTTTTATCAGTTTTTTCACCAGAGGAGCTGCAGTAGCAGCGGCTAACTCACCTCCTCCTGTGTGTGTTTATTTCATCAAAGTGTTTTAGCTTGTGGGGAGAGGGGCATCCGGCAGCAGCAGGGACTGTGGACATCAGAGAGAAGCAGGAACAATCTTACCTTCCTCTGTCCAGTCACCGGCGCCTCCCTCTTCATCCTCCTTTCTTTGCCCAACTGCTCTGCTTTCAGTCTCTGACATCCACATTCCCTTCTGTGTCTCCCAGCATTGCCCTCGTGTTCTCTCCCGGCTTCTGCCACAGGTGCTTTCTCCTTCATAGATCCAGCTGCGATGTTACGTCTCGCTGGCAGGCAAATTTTCATCCTTCAGGCTTTTGAAATCACAGTCACATCTCATGAAAAAAGCAAAATCAAAAAGAGATCAACCTGACAGGAAGACTGAATAACTGAATACGTTTGACAGTAGAAAATGAAAACAGGTTTTTGTGTGCAAATGTTCATCGTGGACAAACTAAAAAGATGCAAATATATATAACTACCCACACTTAAACAGATTCTGTGTCAGTCCCACACTTGCACATACTTGGTAGGACTCCACATCCAAAGGTTGCTTGGCTGACCATCTAGTCAGCCTCTTGTTCTGCGTCGGCTCCACCTCAGCTCCAGCGAGGGTGTTTTTGCTTCCTTGTCTCTTTACCTTTGCTGATGTTGAGCAGTGGGTTATTCTCTGTGTACCATGCTGTAAGATTATTGATTTCCTCTAGATATAAATCCTCTCTTCCTCTCATCAGTGTTTATAATCTCACCAGAACGGTTGCGCTCTCTGCAGAGCTCACAATAGAGTTCTCTCTGTTTCTCTGAATGCAATCGTGGGAGAACAGTGTGAACAGGATGAGGCTGAACACTCAAACCTGGAGGTTTGTGGTGTGACGCTCCTGTCTGCGGAAGTCCAACATCTAATGTCAGATTGTGGCACTAAAGGCCAAAGTGCTGAGTTGAAATCAACAAACAACATACAGATATTTGTGCCTTGATTTTCAAGGCGAAGTGGGAGGAAGTGGAGATCTGATCCTTTGATGGTTCAGCCTGACTGAAATGTTATCTTTAATGTACTGGGCCAGACATTTAAACCATTATCTTCTGCTCATCTCATCTCGTCGGGTTGCTGTAACAGCAGTTTAAACAGCGTATTCCAGATGTCCTTCTCCCCAGCATGGGTTTGCAGTAACTCTTAGGGGGTCCCAACAATATAATCTCTCCAGTGGGTTCCAGATCTTCTTCTGGGTCTTCAAAGTGCCCAACAAAACCTCCAAATGGAGGTGCGCTGGAGGCATCCTGATCAGATACTGAACCGTCTCACTTGGCTCCTTTTAACACAAAAGGAGTAACAGCTGAGCTCTCTGTGGATGTTTGAGCTCCTCATCTGTAAGGCTGAGCCCTGCCATCCTACAGACGAAACTCATTTCACTTGATTGTATTCAAAATATATTACACATTACTTGTTACTTTTCTTAAAAGTTGTGCATTACGTTGCTTAAAAATTCACCTGAGAAAGTAAATTGTTACACTAATTATTGCATTATTTTGATGTTACTCCATAACATGACCTGAAACACACCATCACATAGTTACTAGGTAACAATATAACCATTATGCTACATCCTGCTCACCGACACAAACCAGTGTCGTATTGAGGGCACACATACGACCTTTCTTTAGTGTTTACATGTGTACTATGTCTCTACCTGTTAAAGTTCAGGCTCTGGCTGCTGGGCTGGGGTCAGCATGCACTCGGGTTTAACATCATTCTCAAGTCATAAACTGCTTCACCATTTTCCTCCCCCTACCAGGCAGAAAAAGACGTGTTTTTTCGTCCTATCCTCCCATCGTGCAGATAACTAATAAACTCTTGTTATACAAGTAATAATAATTCTAACTGTAGTGTGATTACAGATTTTTATATTTGCATTTAGATTATTACGTCACTAAGAATGGTGATTGCAGTAACGTGTTACTTTGGAGCATGTGACACACAAATGTTTGTGACATTAACTGGTCATGATGTCATGACCATGTGAGATGGTTGGAGTGAAAAACTGCTTGTTGGATGTTACGAATAATTCAAGAAATCCCTCTCTGTCCACCTGTCTTTTCTTCTTGTAGCTTAGCAACAGTTCATCCGATGCACTGTGTGTTGCTGGGAACTGCTGTGCTGAGTTTGATGTTATTTAGATAAGAACTTCTCATAATTTGGCTAAAAGTTGTCCTCTATAACCTGTTTTTCTCTTTAGAGTGACACGTGCTGTCTCCACTCAGTATGTAAAGGGAAGGACAAACATAAACACACAGGCCTCAGGGGATATTCACTGACACGAGTCCAAGTTTTCCAAGACTCTCGCACCTTAACGCTTAAAAAGACTGAAGGGTGTAAAATATTAATGAGTCCCTGCCAAAAAGTTCTAGCATTTAGAAAACTGCATCACTCACTGGGCCAAAAACGGGTTCTCAGAAAGATAGGTTGACACGTTTGCCTTTCATTGTATTTATTTTTTTGTCTTTGCTGTCACCAATGATTTCAGTCACTTGTGTTGTTTGGACGAGCAGTTCCTGAATAAGCTGCAACCTACAACGAGTTATACATACAAACAGATTTTAAATGTCATAAATGTAGCTGTCCTGTTTTCAAAACACAGAGTTTATGATAGCCTGGGGTGACACGTGTGACACTCTTCCTAAACAGGTGCTGCATCACTGTTAAAAATGTCAGTATAAGATCAGCCAGGGCATTATTGTGAAAGAAATGCAAGATTTTTACAGTCCTTAATATTTGTGCCAGGAGAGGCAATAAAGGTCAGTCAGCTGATGTTTAGTAACTTTAGCGCCTCTTTATGTTTCTCCAGGTCTTTTAAATTTTTCTGGAAATATATAGGGAATTTTTCGAAAAGATGTTGGCTCATTTGGAGCTGATGATGAAACTGGACTGCTTGATATCTTCTGCAGGTTCTTGCTTGCCATCTGGTGGCTGAAGGTCAAAAACTATGATTCAAATCATCCTCAAA